CCAGCACGGATCCCATTGACGCTGTTCGATAAGTGGAATGTTTGGGATCAGAGGTTCTACTCGACCTTCAGTCAAGAATCACCCAATCGCCGCTCAATCCACCGCATTCCCGCAACAAGCGTGTCTTATGCTAAGAAGGTCCATCGGATGGTTCAAAAAGAAAGGATCAATGGATGCACGTGCTCTTAACCTACATTCTTCCGGGTCTTTCGCCCCCGAGCCGAAGGAACCTGATAATAAGGTTAGCGTCCAGGGTGTCAGATTGGCAAATTGACGTACTGGCGAAGCTGGCCGCCGACAGCCTGAGGGTCCCTCGAAATAAACAAGAAATAGGTCCCTGCAGATTAATTCAATCTTACACACGATACGCATACTCTACCTGACAGTTCCCTCCACCACTATCGTACATCCATGCGACTCTCCCATCGAACCTCCACCTCCTTATGCGGCACCCTCGTACGGCGGTGGCGCGCCCCTACCGGCGAGGATCATATCATCGACGATCTCGTCGTGCTCGGTGCGCTTGTACGTGCGGATCGTCTCGCCGTACTCCGAGATGTCGTATATGCGGAACCGTCTGTCGAAACCGACCTTGCCATAGCCCGAATAAGAGCTGATAAGAAAGATACCGGTCAACATCCTAGACGACGGCAGTCTTTGGTAGATTACGTACCCGCCACCCCCGAAGCAGAGCCAGACGCCCTTCACTCGTTTGCAATTCTCCGTGACTGTAAGGAGTTAGTCGTTAATCGAAAGACGCTTCTTCACACAGTCTGCGAGAGCGGGTGTACGCACTATGACAGTGACCGTTCGCCACTACCTTCACCTCGGGAGCACGACCGCCTGCGCGATGGTCGCTCTCTAACGCCTGCAAGAGACCTTTGTGGAAGAAACCATCTTGCTTCTTTGCAGCGCCGTTCTCTTCGAGGTCATGTTGTCCGACATCGAGCGGCAAGCCAGTAGCCGAGTTGACGTCTGCAGCCGAGTAACTCTCTTGCCTGACACGTGGACGTCAGAACGCACAAAGGCAGCAGGTCATGGGATGAAGGACGCACAGAGGGATGTGGAAGAACATGAGTGCGTTGGGCTTCGCAAGCCGTCGTTCGCCGGGAAGAATTTGACCGTTCTGACGCGCCCAGATATCACCTAGGTCCTTAGCTCCATCTGGAGTAAATGGCCGCTCGATTGCGTCGATTGCAGCTACACCGAGACAAGGGTGAGAAGGCCTCAACATGTAGAAGATGTAGTACGTACATGACTCTTGCAAGAACCAATCAATCTGGTCTTGGCGAAGATAGTCGTACTCCGTCGGATGGAAGATACCCCACCAGTCCCACACGCCGGTGTAGTATGAGCCGGAGTCCAGGAAATAGAGGGTCAAGAGATGTGTCATCGACCTGTCGGACGATGTCAGTTGAACCGAGAAATATGTGGTTCTGATGATATGAGCTCACGGGTCGGCACTCTTGACTTTGAGAACGTAATTGCCTACACCGTGAACGTCCTTCGGGCCTTCATCCACCAGGCTGTATGGAAGACCTCGCATGTACTTGACTTGAGCCTCTCTCGTCATACCGTCCTCGTCGTCGTGGTTGCCAAAGACAGCAGCCCATGGGATGCCACGCTCGGTCACGGCCTTCGCAAACTTGGCCAGAACGGAACGTCCGTCCCATGTGTAGCTCTGACCATTGAGCTGGTCACCGGTAAAGACGACCATGTCAGGCTTCTCAATGTCAAGGACGTGCCCCAACAAGGTGCTAGTGAGGTTGTCGGATCCGGTGCAAGGAGTGATGGTAGTGTCTCTACACGATCCGACGTTGACAGAGTAGTGCAGATCTGCGACTTGCATGATCTTGAACTTGCCGTCGCGCGTGAAGTGCAACGGAGGTGCGCGGGGTGGAGCTGAGGATGCATATCATCAGTGAACTAAAGACCAATAGTAAGATGGTATATATGCTCACGTTTGATGCCCTTGCGGTGTGTCAACCAGACAGGCTCGATATTGTGCATACCGTCATATGCGGCTTGGTCTGCCTTTTCGAAGCCGTACCATGGCTGGTCCGAACCAAAAAGGACGTCTATCTCGGTGATGATGTTGTTATTGCGCTCGGCCTCCGTCATCTCTCGCCAGGTCTTCTCCGCCTTGTACCAGAGATACCGCTTCTGTCCGCGAGGACTGACAGGATACGCCACCTTCTGCCACGCATGGCTGAAGGGGGAGGGGGTCTCCTTGTCGGGAAGTACACGCAGTTCTGTGATGAGAGGGATGTCGTGTCTGCGGGTTCGGCGGTAGTACACGTTCTGTAAGAACGAGTTAGTCGACTGAATCATAAAGCACAGTGGTAGTGCACAATACGCACCAAGCTCTTCATGCTCAGTTGCTCCTTCAGGTTGCGCTCAACGCGCACCCACTTCCCCTTCGTCGCGTCCTCCTCCTTAGTGGACGAGGGGAAGCAAAAGTCGGCAGCAACAGAGGGCACGAACCATGGGTCAATCATGCACTCCGTTATGTGGAGTTCGGACACTGCATCTGTTCAGACGTAGTCCAGCATAGACTAATACACAGGGCACTTACATCCGGTATCATGTTGCATGAGAGGGTCCCATACGTCCAGAGGAAGACTGGCTGTGTCCACGCTGTCCGTCGTCGTTGACACATTCCACCAGTCCACTCCTTCCGGAATGCTCCCGGCCGTGCTGCCGCTACCCCCAACCTCCACGGACTCAGCAGACCCGCCTGATGCAAGCGACGAGCCCTCTCTGATGACGTCCCATGATTGCCATCCCAGTTTCTGTATGCTTCCCGGCCCAGGTGTCGGCTGGTAGAGAACGAAGACGAAGGTGAGCAGGCAAGAAAAGGCTATGATCGACGCGGTCGGCACGAAGATAGAACGAAGGAAACGAGCGAGTCTGAATAGCGAGAAGCCCATGGTGAGCGTCGCCCGCAGTCTTTAGAGCAGTGAGGTAAACGAACGAAGCATAAGACAGAGGCGAAAGTGATGGTAGTAGCAGGGTAGTAGACCACTGACAAACAAGGCGAGACGCGTCGCTCTCTGGGCGTCTACGAATATTCGTCTCTTGCCTTTCGCCTCATCCCTCTGAGTCTGATATCCGGTCTGCTACGATGTCACTTTCTGGCAGTACAAGGCCTCACTTGCCAACGCGGCCCTCGTCTTCCTCCGGTCTCTGGGGCCATCTGATGCGCGCGACTGTTTCTCAGGTCCCCACGTCCAGCGCGGCCAGTAGCACGACGCTCGGACGGCATCCGGCAGCTGTAACTCCTCTCGACAAGGCCGGAGCGTCCACCCGGATCCTCTTGCATGACACTCAAGCACATCTGGAAAAGTTTACTGAAAAAGTTGGACACCTGGCGACTGGGTTTGAGAACGCAAAACAAGAGCTTAGTACCGTGCAGAAGCTATACCAGGACGAGCATGAGCAACTGGTGGATAGAATGATAGGTCTCGGTGAGCATGCAACTGCGTTTGTAGTATCATTCAGGTCTGATGCCAGCCTACCTAGCCAATCGCTGCCAGGCGGAGCTGCAGAAGGCAATCGGGTGTCCAGCGCAAACCGCCGAAGTCCGAGAGGTGTCCAAAGATCTCACTGCGTTCGCTACCCGGCTAGAGGCATTGGACAAGAAGATTGACAACTTGAACTTGGTCTGTACATGATCCTAATGATCCTATGTGACTGTATGCGCTGATGGAGCATCCCTCTCAGCTCAACCAGACGCAATCCCAAGCTTTGCAAACGATTCAAGACCAGCAAGGTCAAATTCTTTCAGCTTTGCTGCCTGTGCTGCCTCTGCTCCAGTCGGTCCCTCTGCACATCGAGAACGCGCGAAACCAAGTCAAGGACTCAATCTCTGAGCTTCAGCGCCACGGCTCCGTGCGCGAGGTCCTCCCTCTCCCTGCTGTACTGCTTCCGAGGAAGACACCGCAATCTGCTAAGCGGGCCCACTCTCGTTCTGCCGACTCGCTCAATGCCGCGACAACGCCCACAGAGCGCAAGAAGCGTCGCCTCGACGAGCCCTCAGATCCTTCTCCTGATCCCTTCTCTGCCGATCTTGAACAAGTGCAGGCAGCACCCTCTCCAATTGGCGCGCATACACCTTCTGGCAATGCATCTCCCGAGGTCCCGCTGTCCAGTCTCAATATCTCCCGCTCGTCACGCAAGAACATCGTCAGAAGTCCTCTTGCTAATCTGCTCCCGGCGAATCACCTTCCTGCAGCCTCTGTCGATCTCAAAAAGGCCGTAGTTTTCAACCACGCGCATCCTGCTATGACAACTCCTGCCGGGTCTTCGGTCGTTCCTAGTGACTCTGGCTCCTCGTTCACTCCAGTGCGCGGTCGCATGTCTTCCGCGCTGCCGCAGATGTCCGGTCCTGCGTTCAATGTGTCGTCCCCTCCGGGACCTCCTGGTGACTCAAAGTCGCTGCTTCCGTCCGTCCTACACACTCCGCAGCGGCGTCGATCTTCTAAGCATCCCATACATGCGGCCCAGGACCCTGTCATTCATGGTACCCCTGTTCACTGTCGGAGTTCCACCATTCAGCCGTCTCCTGCCAACGTCAATACCTTGCACCGCACGAACACGGCCAGGCAGGACGTCGCGAACGGGAACGCACCAGGCTTCGTTGCGCGATTCGACATGCACCCGCCTAGTGTCCCTCCGAGCGCCAGCAAGCCCATGAGTCTCAAGGATCGACGCGCTCTTCTCTCATTGTCTGATGACACCCTGGTAAGCCATATGTGATGGTCATCGGTCACGGTTTGCTCACTGTTGTCTAGCGGAACGAAGGCAAGAGGTTCATACCTCTGGACGACGAGGACGACGATATCGAGCTAGTCGATTAGGTAGCACAGCTACTCCACACACTCTGTCTAGATGATAGATCCACACGCATGCATACCAGGTGTTTCAGTTCGAATGTCAACTTACTGCAATCATGGTCGTCCTTATTTGCTGATATATTACAATGCTTATTTTCTAATAAGTCTCTGTTAGTATATCGGTTAGTACACGCGCCTGTCATTACTTCATGACCGCGCGAAAGCGGGGTTCGACTCCCCGACAGAGAGGTCGGTCATCGTAGTGACGCCTTTTTGCACCCCACGGAAGGAAGGCACGACAAGGAGAGGTGTTTTTGCATCTCAAGGAGGCTTTCCGGTCGAGAACAGGCAGTACCAGGATCGGCCGAGTTCAGATTAAAATGATTCCGAGGAGGTCGGCGTTTCGGAGCACAGTCCCCGGGGTCCTCTAGGCCCTAAACTACCTGAGGTGCCAGTCCGACCATGACCTCCATCGTCGTGGTGAGTTCATTCGATCGACCGCTCAGCCTTGAGCTATAATATCGATTCCTCATGCACCTTGAACATTCCTGTCAGGAAAGGATACGTTCATATGGTCGAACCAGTTCCATTACTCGGATACTTCCCCGGGAGGCACTGCACAGCCGGCACTCAGGACGTCGCAATACCACAGCACAAGTAAATACACTCATGTCGATTGCAGCATGGGCACTCACAACGTGGAGTGTACTGGCTTGCATCTTTGTTATCATACGATGACGGGACCGCAAACATCGCCACAGTGGCGTACTGGTATGCCTGAAGAGCTCCGATGAGGAGAGTCCTGGATACAGTGGGTCCAAGTTTGATCTCCTGTTACTCATGACCAGCGACGACTGCACCCATACACTGGCCGCTCTCGTGGGCGCGTCGACTTCTTGCAAAGCCGCTGTGCGTAAGTAGCGCTGTCCACCGTAACAGTACAAGGTGTTGCCATGGCCCGAGTTTTCTTCAGATTGTGCGCGTCTCGCGCCGCTCGGTGACAAGACTGAAACCCGAAGAGAAGACTGGCGGCGCTGTCACACTGGAATGCGGGATGAGGAGAAGGAGGCATCCGCGACCACTGCACTGTCGCTCTTTATCTCGACTGCCGGCTGAGACCATGCCTCGACAGTTGGCATGTGAACGGACCCCGAGCATCTCCCACTACCTCCTTTGTGGACGTCGGTGGGTCCACACCGGAGATATGCCGCACGACAGTCGCCTCGCGCAAACAATACAGAGCATGTCTGTTGTTCCGTGCAAGTCGTCAAGGTGAGACACCTGTTGTTGTTCTGTTGTGTAACATCCGCTGCTACCGTGGCTCGCGGTAAGTTGTACGGGGCACCTTGGTTAGTGGCTGCTTCATAGACTTGGACTGACTTGCGCTTTCTCAGGTGCATTCCGTGATTCTACTTCGTGGCGCATGACGCGACGGGGCTTTGCTGTGAGTGGCTCGGGATCAGTCCACGTCCTGACCTCGTGTACTCGAGGGCGGTGGCGGGTTCAAAGCCCGCATGCTGTCGCATTCTCTTGACCCTGTCACAAGAAGGGACACACGTACTCCGACCAACCCCGCCAACGACCTCTCCCCATATCATCCAACACTCTTTCGCAGTACTTTCGCTCCCAATGACTCGCTCTTCTCCCGAGTACAGCAATACGGAACATGCAGACATGCGATGCAACGGATCGCACCGCCCATCCTAGGAACCAGCCGGTTTTCTCCAGGAATGACTTGTATTTGACAGCAGCTCACTGGTTAGTTCTATTTGGGAAGGAGAAATGCCAGGCTGGGCCACGCACTTCCCAATCACTTGCCTCCTCCGTTGAGTTGTGCCCCACAGGCGTCCTCAGCAGCCTACGCCACAATGGCGGAGTTGTGTAGCAGGTTACGCCTGTACTATATAAGTTGAACGTGAGCACGCTGTTTGTTCTCTCTCAACGTACCAACGTGCAAGCTGATTCCCTACCCACTCACGCCGTACCGATACCAACTCTTCTCGCTCGCGCTCTCCCTACCCAACTCTGCCGTCAATCTTCTGCTCGCCATCAGGAACCATGTCCAGTCGCCCACATAGCACCGCCGCCACTGACGGCGCTGCCATCGTTGACCCACAACAAACGCTACAAGTACCTCAGGCCAAGCTTGCGCCCCATGATGCCGTCGCCCGACTGCCCGCCAGCGCAGCGTCGCCGGCCCTCGCCTCGTCGCCAGAACCGCCTGTCGACGCTGAGCAGGGAAGTCTCAGCGAAAAATCCGAGGCCACGGTGCACACCCGCGGGCCCGACATGGCCAAGGCCGCCGCGGGCAACGTGGTACGCCTCGTCGCCCTCCCGAACTACCAAAACCGTCCGCTGGTCCATATGGAGTGCACTCTGCGGCACTCTGGGACCCAGGAGTGTTTTCTGCACCGGGAAGACGACTCGCAAGAGATGACCACGATGGGCGACGTGCTGCGCGACTACAGCGAACGCATCGAGTCGATCCAATTCGACGCCACTGCCCTCCCAGGAACAGGCCCGGCCGATCTGTTCACGTATCCCGCCACGCTCCCATTTCCGCTGCCACCCGTGGTGACCGCCGTGTCTGACCCGGGTTCACATGCAGGTCCCTCGTCCATGCCGTTTCTTACCTCGCTCCGAGACATCACCATTACGGTCAACCGAACAATCTTTCTACGCTCGCTACTAGAGTTTCTCCACTACTGCCCCATGCTAAGACGACTAGCGATCCACAGCAAGAGGGAATACTCATCCGTCTTCCCTGAAGACATCGAGGACCTAGTCGCACCCGGGCTCCCGTATCTCGAGGAGCTCACGATAGACGGACTACACATGCATACGACGGAGGTGCTCCTGGACCAGCTCTTCCACTCATTCAATGAGAGCACGAAGATCGAGGCACACTTCTACGAGACCAGCTTCCCGGGTTTCAAGTACGGCCCGGCTCTACAGAAGCTCCTCCTCCCCATCCGCCACGCTAACTTCTCCTACGCCTGTCTCGCAGGTGATGACCAGCCCCAGCCCCAGCCCTCCTCCCAGGCTGGGGGCGTCGCTCCTGGCGCCAGCGAAACCCACGTCTTCACCTTCTCCGATCCTACCGCCCGTCTCCAGCTAAGCTGGCATTGGACACCCGATCCTAATACGCCACCCAACATGAGCCACGTCGGCCTCGCCTGCCTAGAGAACGTAACCAGCGCCTCGCTGACTCTCTGTAACGTCCAGCCGTCCTACGTGGACTTGTTCACGTTCTTGCAGTCCTGCCGCGCCCTGAAGCGCGTCGACGTGCACGCCTCCCATACCGTGCACGCCTCCCCAGCGGCGGTGGCGAACCCCGCTCCCGCTCCCGCGCCTGAGGCCCCAGTCCCGTCGACGTCGGCCTCGACCTCAGCAGCGCAACTGCGACGCGTTCAGGGTGGTCCGAGCACGTTCACCTCCCAGTACAGCCTGTTCAGGGCCCGCCGCGGCATGGGCAACGTGCTGCGCCATATCGCGAACATGCCGCTCTTGTTCTCCGTCGCGGTTGCACAGGCGCCGCACGCAGCGCTGGGCCCGCGGAGCACCAGCCTGAACGTCGCAGAGCAGCGGCCTCGGTCACCGCTGGCGGGGATGCCGCCTGGCCGTTTGGAGCGGCTCGTGCGGTACTACTACGAGCCTCTGTGGGCGCTGATGGTGCGCACGTCCACGCGGTGGGAGCCTTGAGGCTTGCAGCTTGAAAGCTCGACGGGCGTTGTCGGGATGTTGCTGTTGGTCGTAGCCCTTCTATCATCTAGCGAGAGCACCGCCTTGAGGATCCGGACGCCGCACTCGCTAGATCTGTTTGGTGTGTTTTGTTTCCTTGCTCAGGTTTCTTTCACGTTCATGTTTCTCGGTATGCTACTCCCTCATCTGGCACATCGCATGGTGCGCACTCCGGCTTGGTATGCAATTCGCTGGCTCCTGTTCCTTGTTTCATGTAGCTTGATATGCAATTCGCTAGCTCCTGTCCTTATTGGTGCTCTGTATTGGTGCTTGATGTGTAGTTCAGTAGTATGCTTCGTGGTTCATGATCCTGCTGCTGTTCTCATCGGCCGCGCCCAGGTAACTTCGTACGTACCAATGCCATGACTGCGCACGTGTGACCTTGAAAGAAAAACATGAATATGCGCTAACTTCAATAGGCGGGGACTCGGACATGTACTCGTGTATATGTACTATTGCGGGTATGTATAGGCATCCTTCGAGTGTTTGTGTGAGTATAGCCACAAGCATATCCAGCGTGCATATCGTACAACACCATGCTACCCTTACAACGAAAGCATGACAACAACAGAAAGCCGAGAGAATCTGTGAAAAAAAAAACACCAGAACAAGGTGCCCACATAGGACGATCCTCATTCTCGACGACGCACGAAAGCCTCCCCGGACCTGAGGCCTCAGAGTCAAGAACGCATGCTCACATCCGAACAGGGCGAGCGCGACTCCGAGCGCCTCCGCTCCTCCCGCAGCTCCCTCTCATGCCACGCGTCGAGCGCAGCCTGCGCGGCCTGCGAATGGGAGTCAAAGAGCCCCTTTCGCGGCGCACTCAGGATCCCGCCGAAGTAACTCTGGGCCGAGGGCGTTGGCAGTGGCAGGACGATCCTGTTCTGAGTCTGCGTCGAGCTGGAAGCCTCCTCCATTGGATTCGACGCGGGCATGCCAGTGTACCCGTCCCCAGGGCCAGGGCTAGTGGGCGAATCCGGGGTGTAGCGTGCCTTCTTCCGGGACCTGCGCTCGCGGTAACGGGAGTTGACACGGAGGCCGTTGAGCGAGAGCGTCTTGCGGTGGGGTGCGGTGAGTGTGCGGCGGTCAGCGCGTGCGCTGTGGAGGGGAGCGCGCGAGAGATGTTAGAAGGCACACCTTGGTGAGGTCGGTGGATGCCTTGAGGCCGGGGAAGGTCTTGGTCGAGAAGATCTCGAAGGAGCCACCGTAGCACTCGGCGAGCACGGGCACGCAGCGTTCGTGCCCGCTTATGTTGAACACGCGGTATCGCAAGATGAAGTTGCCCTCCTGTCGGACTGCAAGGTCCTGTGCATTTATGATAGTAATGTGCATGATCAGTGGATTTCCAAGTACCATAACCCGTATACCGAGTGGCAGAGTCACGTACCGAGAATACAAACAGCGCCGCATGGTGCCCTTCGTACTCGACAACAGTACACGGCACGAAGGTTTCCCCGAAGAGCAACGACGTGCACGGTTCTCCGTAGCGAGTTTCGGGATTGGTATGC